GCAACATTATTAAAATAATGTTGCAAATCTATATTTTAACAATGTTTCTGAAGCATTGCATTGCAATATGCAATGATGCAACTTTGCTGCAATATTGCTGCAAGCTTCTGTGCTGTATGGGTATACTCTGTATAATTAATCCGTCTCGCCTCGTACTCTTAAACGCCGAGACATAATCATATCTCTTGATATCAGATTTTGAGGCTTATTCTTTATTAGAAGATAGAATTCCATGACATTTTCTATTTATATTTATTACAAAAATTTTTATATAATATTCTATTAATATTTAAAAAAAAGTAACGAAAATTGTAACGACTCTTTAGTTTTTTGAATAACGGTAACGATTTACTTTCATAAAATAACTTTGCCAACCCTGGTTATTATATTTATAATTATATATATATAAAAGGAATATATTATATCCCAGAAATTATTATAATTTCTTGAGACATGTATTCCTTTCGTTATATAAAACTATAAATGTAATTAACATTATTATAGTTATATACATATATACGCAATTATTAAAAATGCAGATAATTTTGTATACATAATTGTTATTTTATTATTTTATAGTAGACTATATAATCACATATATCAAAAACTAATTTTTTTTAAATATATCTATATTAATATAACGAGTGTGTGCAATTAAATAATTTTGCAAATATTATATTTAATATTATTAAAAATTAACAATATGTGTTACGACAATTAGTGAGGTAAGATCGATATCAAATATATAAAAGTAAATAAATTATGCAGGAAATTTTAATTAAGATGATCTAGAGCTGTGGACTTATACAGGGTTTGTGGAGGGTTTTAAGAGATTTTGCTGGAAACCTTTTTTGAATCTTAAAGTAGAAAATTTTACAATAACTACCATTTAAAGGTACAAAGTAGGAGCTATGTTCTCATATAGATTCGAATCTATTATAACTCTTTAAAATTTTTATACCTCTCAAAATTAAGGTTCGAAGTAGGAGCAAAATTTTGATCTTCACGTAATCTTGTTTTTCTTTCTCATAGTTGCATATTGTCATTTTCCAGAAGCAAGAAACTCGACCGCGCATAGTGTAGCTGCGGAATGTGCTAAACTTGCAGAAGTTCAAACGACACTGCAGCAAATATTATTACTAAACAATTTCTGTACGTATCTCTTACTCTGTCGAATGCCTTTGCCGTACGCCAGATTTCGCTTTCTATCCTGTTTCTTTCGACTACAAAAATTCTACTCAAAATATTAATTTCGTTAAATGTACATTAAGATCTTTTCTTTTGTAAGCTAGAACACATATAATTTGCATTTAACTTATAATAATGAAACAGATTTATTTAATATATATATATATATATATATATATATATATGTATATATATATATACAGGGTGTCTCATAATAGGTCTCATAATAGGTAATCACCGTTCATGGGTAAATAGAACAGACTAACAGAACTAACAAACAGAAAAGTCCTCTACCATTTTGCAAAATGCGCAATCGTTAACAAGATATTAATTTTTGAAGATCGGCAAATAAACTTAATATCTCGTTAATAAACGCGAATTTTACAAAATAGTAGAAGACTTTT